GCCCCCCCCCCCCCCCAGTTAAAGTCCTTCTTACCTTCCCTGAGGGCTCACTGACTAAGGAGAAAGTATATTTTAGTGTAAGTTAACCTTGGGATGGCAAGGGCTAAGGAAATAATTGGACAATTTGGTGGCTTGATTCTTCCACTTCCTGTATCTCAATTTAATGTTTCTGGACCATTTTTGTACAAAGCTGCAATATTTCCCCTTTTCCTTCTCCTTTAATTGTTCTTTCATATAGAATGTATTTTCAAATATAAGCTCGCTCGCTCTCTCTCGCTTTCTCTCTCTCTCTCTCTTTTTCTCTCTTTGTCTTTGAATAAATTGTCACATAAGCATTTGCCATTGTCAAGGAAAAGAAAATGCAGCTTTAATTCGCTGGTAATGGCAAGCAAGATTTTATTAGACTTTGGGGTATTTTTTGTTTTTTGTTTTTCCTGTTGTTATATTTTAAGGAAGAATTCTTATCTTTACCGTCCAAAGTTGAACTTTGGGTTTCTTGTTAACAACATAAAGTGACAGTATCTTTTTCTTTTCTTTAGTAAGCTGTGGAATAAATCTTTTAATCATTTTAAAAAAAACACACACACACATCCTTAATATTAATAGACAGCAATGAGGGATTTCTTATTGTTGCCGCTGCAAATTAAAGAATGTTCTTGCCATTTACGAGTCCTGCTCTCCAATTTAAGGGTGATTAATTTATCTCTCTGTGGGATTCATTCATGTTAATTAGGGTTGTGCTGATGCTGTTTACAAATAGATGGTGCTGTGTTGGCTTGGCTAAAAATAAATAAATAAATAGCATGTTAGTCCTAAATCAGGTTAAAATGTGGCAGAATGAAAACCCATAACGTTATAAAGGCAAGAATACACAGGCCAGATACTACAACATGGGGATCTTGCTCCAGATCATTCCTCTGTTGACTGAAACGGAGGACATTCTGGACAACTTTTATACTTCCCTCTTTCTTTTTCAGGAAAAGATGGTTTAATACTGAAAAACAATGTGTATAGAAATAAAACAAAAACTGAGGGAATGTACTTAGGAATTAAATTATCTTCCAGAAAGAAATTAATAAGATCTTAAAATACATTGAGTTGTCCAATCACCACAAGGATTTTTGCCACATCAGTATGTGGTGGGTAATATTTTGAACAAATTCAGTCTTACATTGCAAGACCCAAAGCCTGTTTTGGGTGATCAGAGAAGGCTTAATCTGAACGCACGATGAGAGGAAGAGGTCTTGTCAGCCGCTAAATCTGGAGACCAACAAGTGTGAAGAGGAGACAGGATGCTACACTTACGGTCTCTTTATATTTGTGGAAGACTGAGAAATCAGGATTCCTAATCATGTACAGAGGTGCCTTGTATAGCAGAGGGTTTTCCCTTCTGACCCTTGCTCTCCATGTGAAGAGAACACTAGGGGCAAGGCTAGGATTCTCTTTCTCTCATTTCACGCATTCAAAACAATCCTTTGCTTAGATAGAGGTCTGGTATCAGAGCCATAACTAGGGTAGCACAGCCAGGGCTTTAACCCAGATTACCAGAATTTAGAGGGCACGAAATTTGTTGCTGGCAGGATGTGAAGCTGTCTTTTGGTACTGGCTTCTGAAAAAGTTCAAATTCACCTTCTCTTGAGTTCAGATACCTCCTGCATCCACTCCTCCCTGTGCCCGATGGAACACAAAGGGAACACAAAGCAGGCAAAAAAAAAAAAACACCAGTTCCTCCACCTGTTCCCTGTATAGGCCAATTTCATGTGACCCAAGATTAACCAATAAAGCAGCAAAGTCCAAGACATCAAAAGTGCTAGTTACAGCTTTGTCTGATACCACCACATCAAAGCAAATTTTGCAAAGATTGGTAGTAAATGTGAGTAGTCACACACTAAAGGAATGCTGAACTCCTGTTAAGGATTCACTATGATATGAGGGGGGAATTCACTTTATAAAAATGTCAGCAAGTGAATCAGATTGTAGTAATTAGAACACCCTAGTAGTTAATTATCCCCAAGAGAAGATCAAACTCAAATAATTAGAATTGCTTCATGTACTATTTAGTTACATCATGTAATTATTGGCTCTTGCTTAGGGATTGTTCTGTACATGGTCATCTTAAGATCCATACCGTGAGCATATGAACATCATTTAAGAAAGAGTACTTTTCAGTACATAAAGACATGGCTTTGTTTTTTGTTCTGTGTACAGCAGAATTCCAGAAATTATCGGCCCCCATTATTTCTCGACATTGAAAAAAATCTTGTTCACACATGACAGGTGATGTTGATCTTTACTGAATCAGACCACTGATCCCTCTAGCTCAGTTTCACTATCAGAGGAGCCACCAGGTCTCAAGCAAAGACAGGGTTTCTCACCATTCTAGATTGAGATACTTTCAAAACTACAGACATCGAGAGCTGGTCTATTTTTGCATGCCAGGCATGTACTCTAACCATTGAGCAATTACTCCACCCTGTTGACTGCTCATTGAACTCTAGATACCTTTCTGCAAAGTCTATAAACTGAAGAGTAGTACATGTGGGCCATTGCTCAATGGTAGCCCTATATAGATGTTAAGGCTGGAAACATGTAGGACTGCAGATAGTATTGGATATGTGGGCGGGAACACCCTTGTTCGCACCCTATCAGAAGTAAAGCACATCTTCGTGTGTTTGCCACAAAAATGTGCAGATGTTTAATTGAATTCATGGTGTGTCTGTGGCTGGAAGCTCTGATGAACCAAGAGTTCCAGTCACAGAAAACACGGAAAGTGCATTTAGTTGAATGGGCTCATAAGCACCTTTGCAGACTGTAATTGTGATCACCACAAAAGTCTATCTTACTTTTGGGTGGAATTGGGGTGTGTGTGTGTTACATGCATACCCCTATCCCACACCTTGACTCTGTGACTTACACACATTGAGATTTAGACTGAATACAATATCCCTATATGTTATGGCTCATCCACACATATTAGCAACCACATTATGATGCTACAAAATTTGTGATCAGTATGTGTGAACCATCCCATCCCAGTATGGTATTCTTTGATGCTTGTGTTGTGCAAGGAAGTGTGCTAGGAAAAGTACAGACACCACAAGAGACATGTTCACTACTCCAAGTTATCTAATGCAGGCAGGTGTGGTTGGATAGTCAACTGCCATGAATGCAAGGTAAAATGACATTGTTGAAGATGAAGGGGATTTTACGTGGTAGGCTGCAGGTTTCTTGCCATTGATGTAACAATACAATGCTATGCATTATCTACTCAGAGATAAATTGTCCTGTGTTCCATGGAGT